CAGCGATTTACAAGAAAAAAAATGCGCCAGAATTGCATAGATATTCTCTATTCAAATGTATAAAAATCTACAATGTGTCTGATTTTGGTGGCTATGCAGCACCTATTAGCCCAATGTTGCCTACTCGAGCTATCAGCTTCACAATGGATAGGATTTTGGCTTAGAATTGCAGAGACTAAATAACCGATTAATATGTGGCTTCAATCCTACGGGTCCAGAATTTTAATTACTACCTCATAACTATGTTAAAGTGCCCATTCTTAGGGGTGATCTCGACATAGGGGCCACAAATAAAAATTCTGAATCCGTAGATCGATTAGAATTCAAATTCTAAGTAATATCCTCCTACAAACCATGCTCATACGTGTTGTGGTTGGAAAGCTATAGTCCAATCTCTCCAGAGTGCCAAATTTGGCAGGGAAAACAAGCTGATTTCGCATTTTTGGAGCAATAAATAAAATTTCTACATGGAAAACTCTCTCAGTGGATTCAATCACATCATTCCCTCAAACCCAGTGCAAAAAATATATTGAATTGGTGTTGTGGAAGGTACAAAGTCCATGTCTCAAGAAATTGGCCCTGTGACGCTATGTCACGGCATGTCACTGGTCATCACACTTACCAAGGATTGTGCAACACCACTTTTAGACTCTTGGTGAATTGGATCTAAGCGCCAGTTCCAATAAAGTGAGGTACCAGAGACTGGCAGCGGACGCCCCTTCCCCTCAAAAGTGACCACCCCGGCCCATGCTAATTTCAAATCTCCTCAGCGTTGAGGATGCCGAGGGTATGTGGGCGGCAGCTGTTTGTGTTGCCTGACAACTTTGAAACGTGACACTGATTTCCCTGTCACGTGAGTCAAATGCACTAGCACGACAATTGCTGTTCTTACTTGAACGCTCGAGTGTTACCCCACTCCTTTGTCTTTCTCCACACGCCGTTTCCAAGAAGTTCTATTCGTCGCCCCACCTTTCCCGCTCAGATAAAAACAGGCACGAAAAGCCTCACAACCGCTCGCACACCCCTGACTTTGGTAATGTTGGAGTTTGACGTCGTGGGGGAATTCAACTTGAATGAGACGTAGGAAGGCAATGACCACACACGTGTCCCCTGATCGACACTCGACGTCGTTCGGTGCAATGTCTGTATATTCCGCTGTTCCATTAAGCCTTGGTGGAGTTCAGGGAAATGACATTGGGGGACGATCGCAAGTGTCTTGTGGTGACGATCGCGACTGGCAAGCGCCTTCTGAAGCGCCGGAATTTTTCACCTTCGTGCTCTTCCAGAGTCCTTCATTTCCCTCAACATCCAACGGCGTCCAGATAGGTCCAGCAATCATCCATCGTAAGTAACTAGTGGAGAAAAGCAGGTCGGTGTAACTCAAAACCTGAGGGAACACTCGGATAATCTATGGGCGGTTACTGGGAGCGATAACATGCTTCCTTACAAAAATAAGCATCGGAGTGTGGCAAAGACGTTCACCTGGGCCCTGGCACCTTTCGGACTTTGTGCGCGACACATCTCTCACCTATACATTATCGTAATAACCATTTCGTAGAGCTCCCAGGCAGGATTGGTCGGGAGTATATAACAATGGCTACCTGACAAATACGGATTCCCACGTCAACCTTGCGTCCCTTCCTATCTGGCAGTCATTCTTTTACCTCACCTGGGGGAGCTGACGAATAGTCTCAACTGGGCAACCTGTTCAGCCCTCCGTCATCCACCGATGAACATGTGATCCAGCAATCGTCTCGGTTCCAGTCTCAAATTAGCGACGCTATATATGCAAAACAGATGCTCTCTCTCACCCCTTCTCTATCTGTGCTTCGCCCCCCATGCTCTATCTAATTCTTCAAGCGATATTTTTATACGGCTTATCTTTCGCGTTCTGGCGGGTAGTCCGCCAGTACATCGTAAAGACATCTTTGGATAACATCCCAGGACCTCCCTCTCCATCGTTCTTCCAAGGTGTGATATTTCTCCTCGCGGAATGGATCGTCCCTGAGCATTTATCACAGGAAACTTTCGGCAACTTTTTACGATTTACGGTTGGGACTTCCACAAGGACATCGCAGCGAAGTGTCAGTGCTACATGATACATCGATTGCAGAACTGAACGAGGTTGTGTTAGATGGAGGAGTAGTCAAGGTTAAGGCGCTTTTTGGTGTGCGTCAACTATTTTTGACAGAAGAATGCGATCTAACAACTTGGTCGAACAATATAGGAAAACCAGCTCTACGTATTCGATCCAAAGGCTTTGCACCACATCGTTATCAAGGTCAGTTACTCCGCTTGATAACTTATCTGCACTCACGGCCGGCAGGACCAATACATCTATGAAGAAACATCGGCATTCATACAGTAATTATCTTTTCCTTTGTATGACCATTCTATCACCACTCTGACCACCTCCGTCACTCAGAGGAAACCTTCTGCTTTTCGGTAAAGCGTTGATGTCTACCCTAGGTATGTCACGCGAGAACACTATGTATTCGCGCTCTTGATTTATTCAAGGGGACTACCACCGCCGGCAAAGGAAAATGTTCAACCCAGTATTTTCTGTTGCGAATATCCGTGAGATGGGTCAGTCAATTCGCTGTGTCTTTCCGATGTGTTCACAAACGTTTCCACAGTACCCGTATTCTACAGTGTAACTCATAGAGTCAGCATGAGGTCATTGATATGTTGAAACGAACTCATCTTCCGCTTTAGCTTCGGGACTCCATTGCGAAGAAGGTCAGCAACGGTCCCCAAGAGGTACGCCGCAACACCGAAATATTCTCCAGCTACTCATTCAATACGTCTTAGATTGACATGGTTTCGTGGATGGGGCGAACAACGCTTGAGCTGATAGGCCAGAGTGGATTTGGATACTCCTTTGACACTCTTGCAGAAAACGTCACCCCAAATCCATACAGTGCAGCGATGAAAAGTTTAGGGTAAGCTCGTCTGCAAACTTAGTTAAAAACACGGAATGAAAGTCCCTCAAGGTCGGCTGCCATGAAGATGGTGTTCGTTCAAGAATATTTGTACTATGTCACCAAGATTGGTAGCCCACAATTTCGCCGCTTCATCATCGACGTGCTTCCGTGGAAGGCCATACACGACGCGCGCGACATCGTCGATACGATGCATAAGACATCCTTAGAAATCTTCGAATCAAAGAAGAAGGCATTGTTGGACGGGAACGATGTCGTGGCGAGGCAGATCGGGCAGGGTAAGGACATTATGAGCATGCTGAGTACGTCAATCCGGTTACATGCCTAAATTCTTTGCTTTGATCGTTTGTAGTGAGAGCCAACATGGACGCATCAGAAGAGGATAAACTGGACGAAGATGAACTTATTGCACAAATAACGTGTGTACTACCTGCTGTGTCGTAATGCCGTTGTTTTTAACCACTTCATTCTGGTTAGGGCCTTGACATTCGCCGCCGTGGACACAACGTCGAGCGCACTATCTCGTTCGCTCCATTTACTAGCGCAGCACCCAGAAATACAAGAAAAATTACGCCGTGAAATCACCGAGGCCCGTGCCGAGAATGGAGACCTCCCTTACGATGAACTGATTTCTCTACCATTTCTTGAAGCGATTGTTAGAGAAACTCTTCGTCTCTATCCTCCGGTGTCATTCCTGACTAGAACGTGCGCGCGAGTCCTCACTCTGTTTTTTCATTGTCGTCAAGTCTTTCTGACGGTGTCTTTGTATAGGACGCGGCAGGACATCATACTGCCTCTCTCTAAGCCTTTGAGAGGTCTCAACGGAAAGGAGATCTATGAAATATTGGTCCCCAACAACACAAACCTCTTTATATCAATTATCGAGGCTAACCGGAACCCGGACATTTGGGGCCCCGATGCGCTTGAATGGATCCCGGAGCGGTGGCTTTCTCCTCTTCCCTCATCTGTCTCCGACGCGCATGTCCCAGGCATCTACTCGCACTTGTGAGTCGAGAGTTGTACCGGTTTTATTTGATTTTGACGTCATCTTGTGTAGGATGACGTTTCTTGGAGGAGGGCGGGCTTGCATGTACGTCTTGGTTTGTTTTTCTGCACGGTAGCTTGACCGAGTTTCCCATAGCGGCTTCAAAGTTTCGCAAATTGAAATCAGTACGTCTTCCAAGCGACGTTGCAAATCTTTCTTTCATGATAACCTTTCACTTTCTTTTGCTATGCTTTAGAGGTCGTGCTGTCACTTTTGATCGAGTCTTTTCGCTTCGCTCCCTCCAAAAAGGAGATATTCTGGCAAATGACCACTGTTGCTACGCCGACTGTGGTTGGCGAGGGCATTAAAATTCAACTTCCACTTCACGTTAGTAGGGTGTAAAGTGATGTCATGGAGGACTCAAACACGGAGATTAATTTGGGTGGTATCTGGGGACGTCGATTCTATGATTTATTCTCTTGCTAGCATAGAACGTGTTTGTAAATTGGTTCAGCTTGGACAACATGTGTACGTACTGACTTCCGAATACGCGAATGGGTCAATAAGGTGTCAGGGCACAAGGCGCCTATAGCTAGCTTGTTATACAATAGTACAGATTCCCCGACGGCCTTTGTCTTTTCTTTGCCTATTTGGTATCGAAAAGCCTTACGCGCAGCACGCTCAAAGACTTCATGAACACCAGTTCCTCTTCTGGAAGAAGTCTCCAGATAAAGCGTCGCTCCAATCTTTTGAGCTACCGACATGCCCTAAAAGCCGTTGTGGGATTGTAAGAGAAGAGCGACGATCATAGAAGCAAACCTCTTCTGGCGTAACATGCGTTCTGCTAATCTTCTCAAGCTCATTAATCGATTCAGGATCACTCCTTAGGTCCATTTTACATCCGACGAGAAGTATCGGTACCAATAATGTAGTACTTCTTCGATCCACTGTTGCAAATTCAAATTTGGGAGTGAGGGCTGAATGTACAGTCAGAAAAACTCACATTTTCTTGACATTTTGTAGCGACACCGGGGAATCGATAGCAAAGCAAATCATAACCACATCACAGCTGTTGTACGTTAAAAGTCTGAGGCGAGCATAATCTTGTTGGCCGCCGGCAGTATCCCACAACGAGGATTCACTCTGCTTTCCGTCGACGTCGATATCTATCGTGCAGACGTCGCAAACAGTGGGAACGTATGCCTGGTAAACCAATGCCATTGGCGGGGTACTGAGAGACAAGTCAAAAAATGGTACCCACTTCTGGGAAATCTCCAGATACGTAGGTGATCACAAGTGACGACTTGTTTTATCGAGTCAAGCAAAGCGACAGGATGCAAACCTTTCCGCATCCTCCGTCTCCTACAAGAACTAATTTGACTTGTGGAATCAATTTTTTGTTTGTAGGACGGTTCGTGGCCAAGTTTGGGTTGCTAGGAGCATGCAAGTTGATTCATAAACGTCGCCAAGGAAAGCTGGGCGGAGCAGTGAGAAAGGGACAAGAATTGCAAGAGGTAGCCCATATAGCTTCAAGTTCTCGTCCTCAACGGCGACAGGCCAAAAATAATACCTTCTTCCCGCTAACTATTCTGCTTCGCACCTTTCAAGTTGAATCGATGGGGGCCGATTCATCGATCTAGGTCTCGATAACAAAAAGGAACGAGCATCAAGTAGGCTGGACCAAAAAGGAACAGAATGAAAGGAGGAAGGATGGGCGCTCGCTGCACGTGCCAAATATTGTGCCAAACACTCGACGCGTTCAACTTGCGTTCAACACTTCGGAAGTGAAACTTCAACGTTGCATCTCTTTATTGCTTTTCCCCATTTTCCCCTTGTTCGTCGACTAACCACTCTCTCAACAGCCCTACTCGGATGTCGAGCGGATACAATTGCGGAACATCCGATACCATTAGACTCCTGGTGATACCATGCCGGATGGCCGAGGCAAAGAATGCCTTCACTTCAGCATTTGGAGGACTCGATGCGCTTCATCGTGTGTAGGGAATACTGAGGTATATGACGTGTACGTCTTCCTCCACTCGGAGTTGTTCTCACCCGCTTACTTTATCCTCGTTTGGTACTTATGTATTCCGATACACTCAGAAACACGCTCGGAACTCTTGTTGACATCCACCGATTGCTACGTTTTCTCGGTTTACCCCCTATCTCGTCCCCCCTCACAGGCCTCACACCTCATTCCGATTGTCTGTGTTATCATGGGCATGAGTGCTCTTTCCCGTATCCTCCCCCGTTCGCCACATCATCGCTACCTCTAGTCTTGACCATCATCCTTTTCCATGGTTGACTTGCTGGTGCACGTTTTTTTTTTCCCCCGTGGGCGTCTCGTACATCATTCTTTTCCCTCCTTTTTTTCTGTTTCTTTCCGCCCCTCTGGTCTTCTGCCACCCCTTCGCCAGTCGGTCCTTGTGCACATGTTCCATTTGCCCTTCTTCCACGCCTTCACATGTTCCCCCACTTCTTTCCCCGCTTTTCAATCCTAGGTGTTGCGCCCTCTCCTATCTATGGAGTAGCCATGTTCGGACAATCTTCACTCCCTCATCAGTTTTCGTTCTCTGGTTTTCCCGCTCCTACTACGGTTTTTCTGTTCCCTCTTACACCTTTTGTTCCTCTCAATCCACATCGGGTTTGTTTTCTTCTATTCCTGAGATTGTGCTTTGCATTCCCCTCTTTACTTTTCTCTCATTCGTCCGCATGATGGATCGATTTCACACTTTTATTTTCATTGATAGAGCTATCTTCCCCCCACCCTCATTGCCTCCCGTTGCCGCTCACACATCCCTTTGACCCTCCTGCTTCCCTTCACTCCTTCTTACACGGTGGCTGATCATACTTCACAGCCTCAATGACGGTCCTCTGCTCCCGGTGGTCATTGCTACAATCCCGCCCCTGCACGTGCTATGTACCTGATGAAGAGGGGGGGCACTTTTCCGCGACGGGCAAAACTGATAACCATAGTAGACGCCAAGAGAGCTTCGGTAGACTTGGATAGAGCAGGAAACCTTCACATCGGACGTCCGCTCGCCGTACCTTGGCCCAAGGTGGGTAAGATCGTCACGATTCTTTGAGTACAACTGACTCTAACGCCGCAGGAGCAAGCCACAGGGCATAAACCTATGCACTGTGGAAGATACGGCGGTGCCTTCTTTCTTGCAGGTAGTCGCGAAATGGGGGTGATGACGTGGCGATATGGGGTTAGGAGTGAATAAGGATTCATCGACGCGCCATTCATTTCTGTGGGCTGATTCAGACGTTCAATGCTACGTTATTTCACCATCGACCAGATGCGTTGGCTTTCGATTGTGACTATCGATTGAGCCTTTCAAGTTTCTCGTTTGGAATGCTCACCCCAGCCTGACCTCCCCACTACCATTCATCAATGGGACGCGACACACCCTGACCATACCCAGGTATAAAGATTGCTTATCTTTCCCCACCCAGGTGGAACCTCTGCAGCACTACTCCACCCTCACTGCAAGCAAAACGAGGGAAGTTCGGAGTCGAGCACCTTCTCTCGCTGAGCCCTCTTGTCTAGTGCATCAACACTTCAATTCAAGTCGGTTGATCGCAAGAGCACATGCTTCAAAAGGGTGTCTACCCGTTACCAGGTCTACCCACACGACACGACGATGAAAGGTGGAAACCTTTTGGTGCGTCATGTGGTGTATGCAATCTTTACTGAGGCTTTCGTACCTCTTTAGGGTTTACGGCAAGCCATACATAGACATTTGATGCAGCCGCGTCGTACTGCACTATACCGCCCTCACCTATGAAAAACAACAAGCCCATTTCTCCACCTAAAATCATGGACTCTGGCTTCGCGATCGAACATCAATACCGCATTCTACGATTCCCGTATGTACGCCGTTCGTCATCTGGTACCTTTGTTTCGCAATTATTTTAGACCTTAAAAAGCTTATTGCGAACTTGAAGCTACTTGAAGCGTCCCGCTCTTCAAATCGTGCTTGAATAATCAACCTCTCTATTACCCTTCGTGGTGTGCGTGCTGATAATGATGCCTGGAGCGACATCGGGTCGATATTGGACCGAGGTATGCTTCCCCCATTTTGTCTACGCCAATGTCCGTTCGGCAACGCAAGAATCGATACAGTCACCTGATAATCGTTGAATATAATTACGGTTGCCTGGAAAACAAGGCTTCTTGATTGGCAGTGCTTCTTTTTCCCTCGCTTCGCCGCGCCTGTTGCAACTCTTGAGGTTCGAATTGTTAATCCTCCTGACAGACCTTCGCAGACTCACATTCATCGGCTTGTAGTCTCGTCGAGGATTACACATGGAAACATATTTTACAGGCAACCAGTGGTTTCCAGTCGCCTCAGGTCTACGCGGAGCTTCTCGAATCATCTTACTTTTTGCTGCTGACAATGCCTGCTTCTCGGCCCTGGAATGCCATAATGTCTCGGTATTTGTGAATCTGGGGACATGGATCCTGATCCGTGTTCGTGGCAAGGGTTGTATCAACGTACCCATAACCGTCATCTCAACGTACTCACCACTCTGTCATCAACCCGATGGACATCGGCTCTACTCGTCACTTGTGCTTCTTGAACTTCCTGTATATGGCTGCTGCGACAGTGCGACGCTATATAGATCCTGTGGTTTGACCCCATCACGGTCTCCATTCTCTCCTCAGTTCCTACCATGCTTGCTCTGATCCTTCAAGGGATACTACTATACGGTCTATCTTTGGCGTGCTGGCGTGTATTTCGCCAGAACGTGGTGAAGACATCCCTGGATAACATACCCGGTCCTCCTTCTCCATCGTTTTTCAAAGGTTTGACGTTGCCCCTCGTGAAGTGGACCATGTCTGAATATATATACCGCAGGAAACTTTCGGCAGTTGTTCGCCGTTCACGGGTGGGAGTTCCATAAGATATCGCGGCGAAGTGTAAGTGCTATATTCTGCATTGATTGAGGAAGCTTTACACGAGTATATTAGATGGAAGTGTGGTTAAGGTCAAGGCCCTCTTTGGTGTCCGTTAACTCTCCATACGGGCAGGGTACATTCTGACGCCTTGTTCGAACAATATAGGAAAACCAGCTATACGTATTCGATCCAAAGGCCTTGCACCATATCGTCGTCAAGGCAAGTTAGTGCTCTTGGTGCCTTTTATCTGCTCACGATTAGCGTTCTATAGGATCAATATGTCTACGAAGAAACATCAGCATTCATTCAGTAATTTTTTCCTGCTTCCATTGACCATTTACCTTTCTGAGTGGCTCCGGTTGCCTAGAGGCAATCGTACCCTTTTCGGCAAATCTTTGTTCTCGACTTTAGGTTTGTGTGAAACACATTGAAAGGCTCCCTTTTGATTTTTTTTGAGAAGGGGAGTACCATCGCTGACAAAGGAAAATGCTTAACCCGGTGTTTTCTATTGCGCATATGCGCGAGATGGGTCAGCAAGATCCTCAATTTCTTTTGGCGTCTTATGTTTCTGAATGCCTCGTCAGTGCCCATCTTCTATGAGGTGACTCATAGAGTCAGTATCACCCCTTTAACTTTTGATCTATCAATGTGAGCTCATCTTCTTCTTCAGCTTCGAGATTCTATTTCAACGAAGGTCGGCAATGGTCCTCAGGAGGTAAATGGCGTTACCAAAGTTTATTCGGATTTCTGACATAGTTCTACTTAGATCGACGTTGTACCGTGGATGGCTCGAACGGCGCTTGAGTTGATAGGTCAGAGTGGATTTGGCCACTCCTTCGACACTCTCGCAGAAGACGCGACCCATAGTTCATACAGCACGGCAATAAAACGGCTAGGGTGAGTTTCCTCGCCAAATCCTTTCCAGTGGTTGATTAAATTTATGATCGCTAAAGTCCCGCTCTTTTGCAATTCGCATTCATCCGTTCGTATGGGTGGCAGTTGGCCAACGTTGGAACCCCCCAAATGCGCCGCTTCATCGTCGATCTCCTTCCGTGGAAGAGCTTGCATGACGTGCGCGACATCGTTGATACCATTTACAACACCTCCTTGAATATTTTCGAGTCAAAGAAAAGGGCGTTGTTGGACGGGGATGAAGCTGTTGAAAGACAGGTCGGGCAAGGAAAGGATATATTGAACATTCTAAGTACACTATTTTTTTTTCCACCTGCTAAATCCTTTGACTGATTCCATGGAAGTGAGAGCTAATATGGACGCATCAGAAAAAGATAAACTTGACGAGTCTGAACTTGTTGCGCAAGTCGCGTGCGTACTAATCCCTCATCTTTGCCCCACATCTGAATGACCTGACCCCACTCCGTCTGACAAGAGGTTTGACATTTGCTGCAGTAGACACGACCTCAAACGCAATATCCCGCACGCTGCATTTACTAGCGCAGCACCAACACATTCAAGAGAAGTTACGTCATGAGATCACAGAAGCCCGTTCTAAGACTGGGAGTCTCGCTTACGACGAACTGGTTGCACTCCCATATCTCGATGCTGTATGCAGAGAAACTCTTCGCCTTTATCCTCCGGTATCGTATCTCTCCAGGACGTATGTGCTGTCCTTCCGTTCCCTTAAAATCTGTCGTTGAACCTCTCTTCTGGCCCTTCATGTAAAATAGGACACGCCAAGACATCATTATGCCTCTCTCAAAACCTTTGAGAGGTCTCGACGGAGAGGACGTGCATGAAATTCCGGTCCCGAATAACACAAACATCATTATATCGATAATCGCTGCCAATCGGAACCCAGAAATATGGGGCTCTGATTCGCTTTCATGGATCCCGGAGAGGTGGCTTGCTCCTCTTCCTTCGTCCGTAACGAACGCGCATGTCCCAGGAGTATATTCGCACCTGTGGGCCATTTTCGAGCTTTCATTTTGTATTGACCGCTCACATCATGAAACGCGTCTTGTTAGGATGACATTTTTGGGTGGAGGTCGAGCTTGCATGTGTGTCTCGAATGATTTTCCCCCGTGATCGCTTGACCAAATTACCCCTTAGCGGCTTTAAATTTTCTCAACTTGAAATGAGTAAGTCCATCTACGGCTATTTGCTGTATCACTCACTTTTCGTGTCAGAGGTCGTATTGTCACTCTTGATCGAGTCTTTCCGCTTTGCTCCCCCTAACAAGGAGATATACTGGCAAATGACGACCATTGCAACGCCGACCGTAGTTGGCGAAGATGGCAAAGTTCAACTCCCACTCCTTGTCAGCAAGGTATAAGCCGGGGAACCACAAAAGGAACTCATTTTGTTAGCCCAAAGTGTACGATGTTACTGTAATACCAACTGTTGATTGTCAATCTCACATTTGAGTTCTCTTGACCAGGCGCTTGCAATCCCAACATCCCCGGGATGATCAGTTAATTCAATGTAGTGACGATTGTCTTTTGATATGTAGTTAATTATAACCCCCTTCCAGCTGCTGCACTTTCCCTCAGCTCCTGCGCAAGTACTTCGTCTGGGTCGCGGCCTTTAACCTCGGGGAGCAAGAATGTAACACCTGGGGTAAAAGAGTCAGGATCTCATTTCGACGCATAAGCGATGGATTTGGACGCACCCGCTCCGACGATACAGCAACCAAAGAAAACTGGAAACGAGATCGTCATTTATGGGCTGAGAGTCATTAAAAGGGGGAGGCAACGTACTCCAAAGAATGGCGGGCGTTCCTATTCTCTTACTGAGCGTGTTAAACGCTAATGCAGATATGATAGCTCCTATTTTTCCGCAAGCGGCCGATATTCCATGCGCGAAAGCACGATACCGAGTTGGGAATACTGAATTAGTGAGTTTGGTCAGTAGATATAAATCAACAAGACAACGGGGTCACCTTCTGCTGGATAACACTATAAGCTTGACGTCAGCTTAGCAAGAAAAAAAAATTTAAGTAGACGGACGTATGTCGTACTATAGGTCAAAGAATCGGTCATTAGAGAGATGATTACGCAGCAGGGGAGGAAGAGGCTTACGCGTTGGGCCCGAAGTTGAAGAAGAATTGTAGGAAAGCGAAGCACACAATAAATGGTGCCGTACCGAGGGTATAAAACTTTCCAGCCAGGATTCCCACTATGCTCAAACATCACATATACCGTATGGGCAATCCGAGAAATAACTCACGGAAGAGGGCGGCCAGCAGAAATCCCTGAATCTGAATCCACTTTCTTCCAAGAATCTCAATTGTCAAAACGGTTGCGTAGTATCCTTTAACAACAGTCAGCAAAGGCCGCGATTATCGTTCGTAGCTGACGAACGCACCGGGTAGCATGCCCAAAGCCGTGATGATGATACCACCCGTAGAGATTTTGAAAATGCGTTCCCAAGCCGTTCCCTCGTTTCCAGCATAGCCCATTTGCATCAAGACAATGTTTTGGTTCAAATTTATGCCATAGAATCTTACGTGACCACCCGAGGTAAGACTAAATTCGGAGGGTGTAAAGAGTTAGGACGTACGCGATGTCAAGAAGGAACCAGCAGACACATGTGCCTATGAGAATCTTGGCGTGTCGCCACTCTGAAAAATAAAGAAGAAATTCTGTGTGCCACCTGGTTAACACTTGGTTTGGTAGGGAGGAGATAAATGCACCTTTAAAATGAGCCTGCTTCTTCACTACAACGTCAACTGGCGCCGCCTTCTCGTTCCCGGAGAACTTGCTCGATGTTTCAGAGTAACTGGGAACTGAGACATCCTCCGAACCGCCCTGGACTGGAGGTTTCTTTGAATCCCCCATCTCCGTGTCCATATTAGGCTGGGCCTGTGAATCCTTGAAGCGCTTCGATTCACCTAGAGTCAGACGCTGATAAAGGGTTGCAAATGATGGGACGAGCGATAAGCCAACGACTATCCGCCACACTGCCAGAGAATAAGCGTTCCGGAAAACGGGAAGAGAGAAACTCAGATTCTCACCTCCGTCGAGTTTGCTGACTTCCCCTCGGCCGTTAATAGACGGTTTATAGATCTCCAAGACAATGATTGTGATCAAGCTTCCGACGAAGCTGCCCCAACCCTGGTTCGAGAATATATACGCTAGCATGGTACCTCTCTTCCTGAGGTTAGACCGCTCCGAGGTGATGGACGCAGACATGGGATAATCGCCACCCACCCCAACTCCGAGAAGGATTCGCCACATCCCAAGATACACAAGCGAATTATACGGAGAGATTTCTCCAGTGGGAGTGGTAATGGTCATGATTGTGGCGATAATGATGATCATAAGCTCCTTGCCGTCTATAGAGGGTGGTCAATCATGATGAGAGACAGTGTCGGGGTGACTTACAGACAGCCTTGCGACCTAGGGCGTCAGCGGCGTAGCCTGAATTCAAATAATGGTCAGACATCTGCTCGTTTTCGCGGGAACGTATAGCGTACCGAAGCCAAATTGCCCGATGACACTGCCGATATTGGCACCTGCCTTCACGAATCCCTCCATGTTGGCGGGAAGATGACCGCCGTTGTATAACCTATACTGGAGCATGGTGCAAACGGGCTACGGATAAAGAGGTGAGACCAACGCGAGCAGAAAAAAGGGAGCCGACGATTGGCACGAACGTTGATAATGAACAGGTCGTATGCTACGCAAAATGTTTAATGCATGGTTTGAGGAAGTGGAGGGACACTCACCATCGAGGAAGAATCCAACCTTTCGAAGTCAAGTCAATTAAGGAGAGAGCTCAAGGACAACAGACATACCCCAGCTATCCCCAGCAACTTGGCCTCGGCAATGTTTAGAAGGAATGGGAGTCTCCCACCCTCACGCTCGTACTCTTCCAATTCCCTTGATGCCGTTGAGGTCATTTGAGGCACTGGCTCCGCCATCTGCTCGTCAAAAAAAAAAAAAAAAAACAACTTCGCGTCGAACCAAAAGCGGAAGATGGACTGCGGACCTAAAATATGGGATGGTTGGGACAACGAATGGGTAGGGATGAAGTATTAAAGGTCCGATCTGAAGATTTGAGCTCTTAATCGGTTTGTAGCAATTTTCCGTAAGACGATCGAAGCACTTATTCAGAGTCCACTGAACATCGACTCTTCCCCCGTCGCGCTGTAGACCTTGGGTTCCGTGAATACAATATGATAAAACTTCGTAGTCAAACTTCATCCCGACAGTACCTCACATTTGAGAGTGTTCACTCGAAAACTAACGATGGTTATTTTTGATACGGAAGCCCCGGCCGGCGCAAGGTTTTTCCTCAATCGATGTTGTGCGCTTCGGGCGGCTCTCTCGATGAGTGATCGGTCCTGTTCCGCTTTTCCAACATACGAGTGTCACACGACCACCAATAGCGGACTCGCCTTGGGCCGCTACGACTTCGTTGAAATCGAATACGGGGGGTCTGTAGCGGAAGATTGACAAGGAAGTCAAATTTTCAGATTACGACGTTGTATGCACATATGTACATATAGGGTTGTTGATTGCCATCTAATCTTATCTCAGTTTCGGTGACCTCATCAAATGGTTGTCAATAGACCGGTACTTACATTGAGCTGTTGCTTTTCGTCGAGCATCACCATTACAACTGACTATCTGACATTTTGATGAGTCAGGGCACTCAGTAGGTACCATATAGCCTGATAACGGTCCTTAGGATGATTCATTTTCCGTCGAGACTCGACAGGCCCCTCTGATAAAGCCGCAACCTTGAAAGACACAAACGGCACTTGATCCTATATTGAAATATAATGCGCCACTATGTCGCAATGTCTCGCAATATGTCGCCAAGATCTCCTCGGTTGTGCAGTTATGGGATGGGGACTGGGACGGACAACCTAAGAGGGCTTGGCCTTGTTTCTTAGCTTTACTTGGTAAATTTCAGTCTGTATTGCTTTGGTTACCTGAGGCCTGTAAATCTAGCAGTTTTATTCCATCAGGAAACAAGAATATGTGGGAATTATATCTGGGTGCGTATGTTGGACATTCTTTGTAGGGGACCCCTTATAGTATGAGAATTTATAGAAGTACATTGGGACGAGCCGTCGACGACGCGCAACGGCCCAACGGGTCTTGTGACTCTCCTGTATTATTCTTTTGTATGAGTCTAGTTCATTTCAAAAAAATATTATGGCGAGTTCCAGCCTATTGCGGTATACCGATATCAATACCTCGCTCGCTAAGCAAAGAAAATAATGGAAGTCGGGATACAACCATAAAATTTGTTTCAAACAACATCACAAATCAAGGAATCGTCTCTTTTGCACTTGGTCCTGTAATCACTATTTCACTCACTTCAACGTTGAATTTCTTGTCAACTACAACCACGAGTACTCAAATTCTCGATTTCAGCTATTTTTAGCGCTGATCGGTAAATTAAAACTGGCTATTTATAGCATCCCTCATCGACTCTTAGCCGGGATGATGTATGCAATATTTCACTCCTTCATACTTACTTCAACATTCGATTAGCCGTCGGTTCTACAATTACTCTCCTTACTCGTCATGAATCACGACTGTCGCCTTTAAGCCGCACGTTAGGGCGTGAGTAATTGGTTTAAGGGATGCACCTCACGGAAAGAGGTATCTTGTGGGTACATGCTCAAAAGACAAATTGTGCGAGATTGTATTTAATACCTCTATCCTTTATCTTCTTGCTAATACATCCCGTCAAAGAAGCGCCCATTTCCCAAAAGACTAGAAAAGCTTGATACGAGATAACGATAACGCCCCCTCCGACGCCCCTTTATGGGCATAAGTATCTCATATCCTGCCACTCTGTCGTGATATATCGCAATATGCTGCCAATATGAACTAACGTCGTAACTTTCCTGTCCGCCGGGTAGACTTGGTGCGCGCTACTTACCCTGGCAGCCATCATGGTGGACCAAGAAATTTTGGTCTGTCAGATTAATTTTATGTAAATACGAGAAAACTAGTAGGCCATGGCTAATGTCAGAAACTGGGATAGAATCTTGGGAAAGGGGGTAAATTCTCATCGTGTTTAGAGATGACATTTTCATTTTTATTTTATTAATGAAACTCAGACTGTTGACTCCCCCCTTTTTTTTGCTAGTGTAGTACTTACTCAAGGGAAACGAACTTTTTCGTCGGTATTTTTGAGTTTGTGAATGTTGGACCATTTAGCGAAGAAAGCCGGAACAAACGTTTTCCTGATCCCTTTGTTCTTAGAACCAACACAAAATTGAATCGGGTCAATGTATGACTTAGGAAAACAGGTGAAAAAGACTCTTTGTTCGTTTGGAGAGCTTTAGGTTTCAATCGGAATAAATCAAGTCTTTCCGTGGCCATTGAACGTCCTGTTTGTGGACAAGGACAAATTACAAGGGAGAAGAAGTATTATTACCCTAATGTCCGTTGCTATCCAACTCCGGGGTATTTACATAAGTTGCGCTGTATTTCTCGCGTACTTACTACCACCCACAAAACAATTTGAAATCAATCAAACTCGCGAGGAAGGAATCCACGGAAACAAGGAAGAGCGCTCGTTCCGCCACTGTTAGTGCACTCCCGACAAACCGCCATGGCCATGACGAGTCGGAGGTGGTGCTCCTGATCTTTGTGCGGGTATTTCTCGATCAGGGAAATCGGAATCAGGAATAAAGGCATTCCTGAAGCGCTTGTCCGTCTGTTGTTTATTCGAAAAGAATCGCGTGGGGGACGCTCACCTGCGCAGCGCTTATCCTCGATTATACAATAATACCTACTCCACAATCGCACTCTTTTCGTCCATAACTGCACCCAGATCTCGATCGAAGGAAGCTAATAGTAGCCACGACCCTTAACTTCCAAGGACCTCCTCGGACCTCTTTTGATCCTTCTTATCAAGAACAAGCAAGTCTATCCCCAGTTTGGCGCCTTGGCTTTTCCTCTACAAATGAATGGCTAGGAACGGATCGAGCTTGAGGCGAGGGGCCCATGGAAACACCCAAGAAACACCGGCAAGCTAAACTTCAAAGGCAACGCACGTGACGAATGTCGCGAGATGTCGCCATCGGGTTCGAGAACGTTATTATCAACAACGAAAAAATTTTGACATGTAAGCACACTCCCCGCCCTTTGTCTCTAATGGCATCCTTCACATCTATCCCACCAGAACTCCATTCCTACATCTTTCAATTTGGATGTACGGATGATGGGAGGACGATACGCGCTCTCAGCCTCTTGTCGAGGTACTTCTACGCAATCGCTAGATCTTTCTTATATCATACCCTCGCCATATCGTCATCATCCGACCACCTCCCCCTCCTCTTGACCAAACTCCAGTCAACGCCACCCCATTTGAGGAGAATCACGCATTTATTCTTATCCGACGTACCCTCCTCCTCCTCCACACCCAAAAAACTATCAGAACCCTCCGTATCAAAAAACATCTTCGACCTCCTAACACTCGCCTCCCCCTCCCTCCGCACCCTCTCCTTCATAGCGCACGCACCACACACAAGCACCCACCTCATCGCTCGGCTTTTTCGGATATCATTCCCCTTACTAGGGGAGCTGAGTGTATCAGGGTATTATCCCTTTCCTTCGCCGCCTCCCGCCTTCGATGACGCAAAACCAACCATGCCGTCACTCAAAAAACTCCACCTCCACGGAAACAGAAACCCACACGGTCTCCTCCAATCACAGGCTCTAGAAGGGGCATGTCCCGCTCTGGAAGAGTTGAGGGTATCGGGGTTGGCCATGGCTTCGTCGTTCGTTATCGAGTTGGAGGATGCGCTACTATCCTCCTCCTCCTCCTCCTCTGAGGGCAGCGATAATGACGACGCGTTGTTCCCGGCGTCTTTACCACCCACCATCAAATTGGTGATCGTGCAAGCGGGTGTGCGGCCACCTGTGGGTGCCAAATCTTCGATGGTGGTGTTGAAGGACGACGCAATGATGAGGCAGCTTGAGAGGATTCGTGCGATTGCGCGGGATAGGGAGGAGGAGGGAATGAGGGTCGTTGTCCTTGATAGGCCTGAGGAGGGGATGGACGTGATGAGTCCCGCGGAGATGAAAAAGGTGTGGTTGAATGGGGTTGCTGGTCGTCGTGATGGGTGGTGGTCGTAGAAGGTTTTTTTTTTTTATCCGTTATTTTATTTTCTTGCAATTGGTATACCCACTTATAGACGAATTGAACCATTCATGATGCCTAGACCACACTAGAAACTGTTTTAACTATGATACTAGTACATGAGTAATGAATGGATGCGTAAATGATGTGCAACTTTAGCGATTGTCCGAGACAGTGTGAGTAGGGCCCACAAAGGTAGGGGGGTTAGTAAGTACGCTAATCGCGTAGGTCGTAAGTAATCAAAAGAAAGAAAAAGAAAAGAAAGCATAGCGTCCGTCCGCCAATCACAGCACAGAGCCCGTCGAATACCTCTCCCCTGGGGCAACAACAGTCCCAGCACTAACCACACTATCCCTCTGAAACACCGAATCAATCTTACTCGTCCTCGACGCAGTACCCACCCCCGCCATCCCCCCTCCTCCTCCTCCTCCCACACCGAATTCCTCCATCCCCTCTTCCCGCCGATGCTGATGATCAAGCTCAGACAACGACGTAAAGTTGAAATCATCCCCCGTATCCCCAACCGGAAAATCGTCCGATGGCTGGTGGTGATGATGCGGATGAGATTCGTACCCCAGCCCCATACCCAAAAGGGGGAACGCAGCGCCCATTCCAAGTTGTTGGCTTTTATCAATCATCCCGAATTCGCTTCGTGTGCGGGCGTGCAGTGGTGGCGAGGAGGTGGTGTTTTGTCCAAGGGAAGCTTTGGATGTCCGATTGCCGACGAGTGTATCATCCCCACCCCAGGCCAACGCAGTCTTCGGATCCCAAATATCAATGTCTTCCTCTCGTTCATCATCACCAAACTTTTTATTATTCCCATTCTCATCAACACCACCACCACCTGCACCGCCACCACCACCTGCACCGCCACCAACCCTAGTCTGTCCACTGCTCATCGTAGACCCAGACGTAACCCTCTCCTCTTTCCTCAAATACGCCTCGTACCGCATGGCCCGAAGTCGATCTTCACTCGGCATATCGGCCAACGCATACCCCGCTTTCCCCCCTCCCCCTCCTAGGTCACCAACGCCAACACCAGCTTTTTCCCTCACATACCGCCGTCTGACAACGAACCACCACACCCCAAACATGCCAAGACAAACGACGAAAAAGCCGACGAGGCCAAGAAGCGCGATGATCCCCACTGACAACTTCTTCCCCCCCTCTGCGTGAAAAGACGAGGACGAGCCAGCACCTCCTCCCCCCGCTCCTCCTCCGGTGCCAGATGAGATGGGCTGGTTCAAAACCCGGACAGTCCGGAATTCCTGGAGTGCGATGGTTGGATCTGTCAATGGGAGGAACCCCAACCGGGGCTGGATCTGTGTGCTCGAAAGGCCCACTGCAGCCGCTGCCGAGGAGGAGGAGGAGGAGGACGAAGAGGAAGAGGCATTCGAAGCCAAGGGGAAGGAACCGTCAGAATTAGGTTGCGTATACGCCATAACGGTGTACACGTTCCTCATGAACGGGACTCCCAAAATCATATCCCCAATTTTGTTATTCGCCACTGCAAGGTCCGCATTGTCAGCTTGGATAAGGCCCGTGCAGAACTGGGCTTGGTTCCCTGTTGGTGGTTCGGTTGTTAGATCCAAAGGGTGTAATGGGATTTCGGGGCGGTCGTCGAGGGTGATGGTTAGGTTTAGAGGTGTCGTGCATGGGACGTAATCTATTTCGCCACTATTTTAGCAAAAAGGAAGATGAAAACAAGAGAGGAGGAAGAGACCTACAATTCCCATCACTACCCGGACTTATCCCAATAGCACCATAAATCGCATTCGCCACCGCCGACGTCGTCAAAATCAACGGAACCCCCGAATCAACAACAGCACTCGGGAAAACAGCACCCGTATTCGAGCGTCCAACCTCCACAGGCATCGGCACGCCATTAACGTACACCGTTATCGCCCTAACGCTCACTTTCCAGAACAACGTCCCTTCCCTTTCGCTTACGAGCGTCGAGTACCGTATCGCACTTGGATCGCTGACTAACGCGGATGGATGCCTTCCTATGCCTAATAACGCGGGGACGCGATTCGAGCCGGGGCGGGAGAGGGAGAGGGAGAGGAAGCGGGAGGAGGCGGCGGATGTGGTGGGTGTTATGGAGAAGAGGTTTGAAGCCCACGCTGCTCCGTCGGGTGAGTTGCCTGTGACGGGTGGGATGAGGGAGGCGATGACGCTGTTTAATGGGAGGGCGAGGCCTAGGAGGCCGTTGAAGGTTGAGGAGAGGGGTTCGTTCGTTACTGATGCTGCTGCCGCTGTTTTCTTTTGAATTGGTTGGGAAGGGAAGAGAAGGAAAGAGACGAACCGAGCGCTTGACTATCTATTGTATACCCGCCTACAGTAACTGTGTCCCAGACGATGGGACCTTGTACGGTGCCCTGGATGTAGTTGATTTGAAAATTGAGCCCTGTAGAGGTGGATGATCCGCTTGGGTTGTAGAGGTGTCCGCTTGATTGGGAGCAGGAGGATGTTGAGCATGATGTTGATGCTATCCACTGTAAATTTGTGATTAATCAGGGAGGAGGGCAACGACGCGTGATGGTAAGTGACCAAGTGAGAGAGGAACGGAAGGGCAAAGAAAGGCACGCGTAACGCCCACAGCCAGCACAGACGAGATGGGCGGCAAGTCCTCCTCCACATCGAAGAGGGGAGTGCAACAAAGCCACAGGCCAAGGAGAACGAAAAAGTGTGAAATGAATGAAGGGAAGTGTCATGCCGGCATTCACGTCAAAAAAAATTGGCAGTCGGACAGCGTCAAAGGAAGGAAGGAGATACGGGGGGAAAAAGAGAAAAAAAACACGAAGAATACACACCAAATCCGAGGACCCAGTATCAACCTGCAACGAAAACGTCTGCGCGTTTTTACCCACTTTTATTGGTAGGACATAGGCGCTAAATTTCAATTCCAATTCCTCAGTTGTGCGTTCAAGAAGAGTGGACCGGGACACATACACATCATATACACCACTTCCGACTACATTCAGCGGAAGCACTATTCCATCAGGACCTCCATCACCTTCCACTCCACCAACACCGTTCTGGCGGAGTCGCAGATCCCTGGCTTTGCCTTTCCATTGGGGTGGTATTGTCATGTTGTTCCGTCCGAGAATCCAAATCCAAATTCCGACCAGCGGTTATCGTGTCTTTATGTGTGTGGAGAAGAGAAGAAGAGAAGGGATGAGCGAGGGAAGGATGAAGGGCGACGACGACGAACGATGGGGAAAGAAGTGTCACAGGGTTAGAACGATGGTCACCAGGGGTCATACATGTCGGTGCCTTGCACGTGAACGAATGCTGTGCCGTGATGTGGATTTTTATCAATGCCGCGTATAAAGATCATCCCCCTCTCCCTCCAACATCGTGTATTATGTACAGCGAATGCAAGTCATCACAGATTTTCAGAGTTATTCATGAGAAAAGACCTCCGAGACGTCCATAAATAAATTCCGAGAACTAGAAAGGCAAGTTGGAACGAGAACAAAACGAGAAAGTAAATATTTATGTCCGAACGACTAATGTGAACTGTCAATTTTAATGTTTAGCAACGCTCGACAGCATGACCAGCATCCAAGCTTCCTCCTGCACCAGATACAAGGAGAGCAGATTGAATTTGGACGAGAAAGAAGGGTGTGTGTGGAAGCTTTATAATATTGTGAACAACGTCCAGAACGACTGTCTTGAACATCAGCGTCGTGCCTCCAGATCGCGGAAGGTGTACCACTAAAACTTTGGTGATCGTGCTTTCTCTACTCATCTCGGTTCGGGGAACTTGAGAGAGCGAAAAAAGCGACGGAAAATAGTTGACGTGGACCAAAATTAACAAAACAATCGAAATACTTAGTGTCCGAGTCCTTCGGTATGAGAAACGTTCAACAGCAGTGTCTTTCCCCCTCTCGCATTACCGCGTCGATCCCTGCACCCAGGTCACTTGCAGTATCCAGTCCACGAAGAACCATCATGCCACGGCCCCGCGCAGCATTTGTAGTACTAGGAGTCCATCTTGCGTAGTACCAACATCGCACCAGCCATTACTCTCTCCATAAGGTTTGTGCCCATGACGGACTTGCAGCAAGCCGACGACCCAAATTTACTCCATAAATTGCCGCTATAACAGCCACATCATTTGGCAGATGCGCTGCCAATGAGGACGGCGAATTTGGCTTTCATGATACCTATGTGGGGTTTCACGTTCACGAACGGTCTATGAGCGGTTTTATGCTGTTTCGGAGTGTGGTCTGGGATCGGTGCTGGTAAATTGAGCGTCGCAAGAGCACAACGGTCGATCTTGTTAAAAGTGATCGATCGCACGATGTAGCATGAGGTTGCGAGGAGAAAAATGGATTTGAACGTCATGCGTAGCCCCTCTTGCTGTACAATCACGGAACCGGTTATTGGGGACGTCAAGATCCCTCATGACACGACGTCTCGTGCTCAAAAACAAGCGGCCAGTCCCTGCTAGAGAGTCGGCGTCATCATTCAAAGAGCGTCAGCATAGCGAAGTTGTTGGTTAACAAGGTGTAGTCGCCAATGGCATCGAACCACAGATTTCGGATGACATCGTGAATGGGCTATCCGTTGAAAAGATCGGCGACAGCTTTGGTAGGGATATCATTGGGATATGCCAGGGTGGTCAATGTGACCATCAGGAGAAAGGGCCGCTGTGGAGGCTATGCAAACGATCAGCCGCAGGGTAAGAACAAGGGGTGGAGATAACATGTCCAACAGGAAAGGCGCCATGCCACCAATAAACATCGAGGAAGGCAAAAACAAGCGACCCAAGACGCGCGCCAGTAGTGGGAAAGGAAGGGGAAGGGGAAGTTTCAAGAACACGCAACGTAAACCGATAGCAAGAAAAAGATCAAGCATGGACCGTGCCAGGATGATACACAGGTAAGGAAGACGAGCACGAGATGGAACTGCAAAGTCGGAGGGGAATGCGGGAGTTAGGATGGCGAGAGATAAAAGATCAGAAAAGACGATCAGAGAGAACGAATGAGTTGTAAAACCATCAGGTCGAAAAGAGTGCAGGCGGCGCCCAACATTTCACGAGAGCTAAATGTCGGTACACCTGAACCCGCACGACAGGGGGGGGGGGGCATTCAAAGGCTAGAAAAACCCAAGTAATGATGACGGAATCGGGAGGCCCGCCGAAAAAGCGCAAAATGGGAAACATTGTATTAGGCCGAGGAGGAAGCGAGAGCAGAGCCAGTCGGCAGGGGAGAGAAGCGAAAACGAGGGCGCGGAAAGGCGTTGAAAGGGAAAAGTTGGACGGCATCTAGCCTTTCACCCCGGAGGAGTGCAATGGAAACGAGATGAGGAGGAGAGAGAAATGTGGCGGTTCACAAAACGGGAAGAGGATGAGTGCCGCAAAACGCAAAGTCCACCACGAAAGCGAGATAGGGTCGGCATGGAGAGCAACATCCACTGATAGAACGTGATCGAGGAGTTGCAAAGGGGAAGGAACCTGATGAGAGGAATTGGACGTTCCGCTGGGGAAGAGGAAGTGATGTAGATACCGTACTATACGAGGGAAGGATGACAATAGGGAAATGGTACGCACCGAATTATGACAAATGCAAATGTCGAACAATCCGCCGACCGCGGTATTGGCAAACCATCCAATTCCTCTTGTAACCTTCGCGACGCCAATACACAACGGCCTTGCATGTCTTGATAGCTGTGGGGCCAATGATCATAAGTGAGGCACTTTCAATGACCACATACCTTCCTCAAACTAATTGCAGAGTCCTCTCTATAACGACAGCCATGACAGAGCTGGCGTCGAGTAGCTTGCATGCGAAGACGAGGCGTTGTTAGTTCGAAGTGATTAAACTGAATGTTCCACTGCGCCGAGCGTTAGAATTGGCGGAAACGAGCCATTGCAGTCACGCGTACCCAGTCGTGAGTTGGAGTCGTGTGACTCGTCAAAGTTAGGTGTCCCGCCTCATAATTCCCGCTATCCACGCCAGTGCTCTTGTTCAAAGCTTTGATATCTCTCCATGTTCGGTATCGTTGGTGTGCAAAGAGCTGTAAATATCAACCAAAGAACTGTAGACAAATGATCAATGACGTCACACAACGTCAAGGCCCCAACTTAAATACACCACCTTCTCAATAGCCATTGCAAATCCAACCATGCCAATCTCCCAAGAAACAGCAGTACGCTCAGAAGAGCGCCGAAATACCCCAATCATTGACCAACAAGCTCAAGTTGTTTCCGACGCTGCTCCTCTAGCAGCCACCAGTCCGGTCCCTCAGCAGCAAGGTGCGTCGCTACATTCTGTTGTTTTTCTAGGAATTTAAAATTGTAATGAAACAGGTTTTACAGCCGAAACAAACACTGTCGAGGCGCCTAACGAACACCCGCAACATAGGGGCGTTCCACAGAGGAAGGTGTCGTTCAAGGAACGAGTCATCGGTGAGCTCCTCAACGCTTTGTTGACATTCGACTTAAATGAACGTGTGCAAATTAGGAGTCGCGCAGGTGTGTAGTATCTTTCTATCGGAGAGCGTGGAGTGTTGACCAACTTCGGGGGTAGAAAACTCGAGGAACGGTATGTCTCCTTTCCTTTCAAGTTATCTTTATGACCTGATCAATGCAATGCAGATACTTGGCAATGCAGGTTTTTTTTATGTACAATTGACTGAGATGAAGCTGATTTAACACCGTTTCGCCAGCCCGGACTCAAGGAACACGGAGAGGCGATTCTCGAAGGAAAGACTACGCATGAGCATGATCGCACATTATGATGTTGAAAGACAAGGCCATCTCTTTGCGTTGACGTGTTTTAATATTGTTCATGAGGAAGAGCGGTAGCTTTGTCGGATGATATTCTTTCTTTTTCCTACTGTACTGTACTGGAGCTTTAATCACGGAACTTTCCCCTCAGAACTCGACGAATCATTATCAGAAATACATGGTGCCAAAAGGAACATTTGGTATCTTCACTCCATGAGTGAACATATATTCGTTTGAAAAATATGGCCAGACCTCATAAATAGACAGACTTTGCATCGGTTCCCTTAGATAGTAGCACAAAACTCAAAATCCGGACGATCACACCAACTCTCGAACTAAAAGTCAGCGACGTGTATGCCCGATGGTGAATTATTTACTGGTCGTTTTGCCGCATTGCAATGTGATCTATTCTTGGAATATTTCGGGTTTTTGAGCTGAATGATCTGTCGACATGTCAACAATTCTTGGTTTTCAAATCGGCATTTTATCAATAGACCCATGGTATATAACGACCAAAGCTGACCTGTCTGGAGGTAGTCGTCTCTTTTTTTTCTTCGACCGGTTCCTTCAAGTTTTTCGAAGACATAAGCGTCCTCGTGAAAGCCTCAATTTAATCATTACTAGTATCTCTCCTCGCATCGATCACTTTAGAAGTTTAGAAAGTGCACGATGATGACTATCAGGCCTCACGATTTATCCATGAACGTATGTGCAGCCGACATTGACGCGAGCACGTCCAAAATAATATGGCTTGACTTACCATCGGCGTCTTGCGTGGTAGTGATAAATTACCGTGGGGGATCATTCCAAATGACCTATTTGCCGCCTCTCAGCGCCTGTGCTTTGACTTTCGCGCGTCTAAGCAATGGGGGCGGAAGTGGTGGTTTTATTGTTTTCAAAAAGTTACGCGACGCAAAATTGTCGAGGACCATTCATCACCTCTTATTGTCAAGCGTTCCTTAAATAATATCCTTTGATATGAAGTACTTGGCACTCTCAACAATAAGACTACAACCTCATAGTCTGGTCACGACAATATTTAAATATAAGCAATGACAATTACGAGGGTCGAAGCAAAACTTGGCATGCGCGGGGTCCACCTCAAAAGTTGCCGGAACTTGAAACACCGGAAAGCTATAAAATGCTGCACCAGTCGCCGTATTTCTCCAGGCTCAAATCGACCTAAACATCATACACATGGATTCTTTCACCACCATCTCCAACACCTCCAACATCCCCACCAACTCCGATGACGGAGGCAGCGGAAACAACGCTTACTGCGTTATTGCCTGAACGCACCCCACTCACTATCATGTACGCTCCGATTTTTTGTCGTCCTATTCAAATGCACTTACACTGGTTTTAGACACACACATACATCACATTCACGATCGTATGACTCGCCCTGGTCTACATGCATTTTGAGGAGGTTTTTTGTCTTGCTCCAACGCTCGACGTGCGGGATATATTTATGGAGGGGTTATTTCGTTCTGTTCTTGTATTACTATTTTGGGGATTGTTGCGGGGAGGCCAGGGTTTGGACGCCGTTTGGCCGGATTGCAATGTGATTTATTTTCTGACATATTTCTGGCCCAAGTTGAAAATTCTGCCGATATGTTGAGAGCTATCGAGGTATCGATAGACTTGCGATAGACCAACGAGGCTCCTCTTTGTGATTTTCTTCCCACAGCCAATTGGCGGGCATTGCCGTCCCGCTAGTCATAATTTCTAAGTTTCTATTCCAGCTAACGAGGTATCGATAGACCAGGTTTCAAAACGCTCCGCTTAGTGACTTTGTTTACTTGTGGAGTCTCAGGTTATGTGCAAACAACTTGAGGATCATTGTCCTTTTTTTGATAACCGACTTTCAAAAGGTAGTCTCGGTAGTTAGAATGGGAAGGGAGGTTGCGCGAAGAGCAATTCCTTGGAATACGAGAATATAAACGGTGGCTCACCTCATTGTAAACCCTCAGGACAACGCAACTCTAGTCGGTACGGACTCTTAGTAGTTGACATCGGACTAGCACCCCTCGCACATATTTAGCTCTTCCCCACGTACAACTAAGGCGCTATAGCCAAGTGGTTACGGCGACAGATTCGAATAACGCGGTATCTGTTCCTCTTTGAGGGCGCAGGTTCAAATCCTGCTGGCGTCGTTATATCTTTCTGATTTTTTTTTGGATCTTTGAGATGATCATAAGTACAGGTTTAGTATAAATTGATGAATCAATTTATACATGCCCGACTTTTATATTCATTCTGATGAGCATGCACCGGGTGGAGAAGACGAACGGGAGGATCATACATATGTTAAATCACGCCAATGCATCCTAAATTATCCTAATCAGAGAGTCGTTCCTATCTACTTAACTGCCGACGTTTGTCCGTAAACGCCAGGCATGCATCAAAGTCGATGACGGCCCGTTTACGTTGACAGCTAGAATGAATGGCCGGTGGCGGCTGCGAAAGGGTGTGGGTCAAGTGTGGGCGACGATGGAAGAGCCAAACGAAGGAAATTATTTATTACGATTGAACCCAAGATGATCAGTTCGAAAATGAGGGACGAAATATGGATGGGATTGGTAGGGGCAACAAGAAAGAGACGCTAAGATGGAACCGTTCGAGATTTGCGTGAGGACGTGGGAGGCAAGGAAGAGAAGAATCGTAAGCGGGGTTGGGTAGGTGGGTATGCAGACAGGGAGAAGTGCAGAGAGGCGGGCAGTACTACAGTAGTATATAGATGGACGAATAAAAAGACCAAGCAACGCCTCTCTCAATTACAAAGTGACACATCCGTGGTTCTTCTTCCCCTTGCCTCTGCTGAGGAGAGCGGCACGTGTGGCATATTGGAATACCTCACGAACGCCCTCACCTGATTTGGCGGAACATTCGAGGTAGTGTTTTGCCCCGATCTTCTGCGCGACAGCCATACCCTGCGGAGAATAGTTAGCATCATGAGAGAGAACGGGTATGCGCAAGGCAAAGAAGTCAACGAGAGAGTGAATGTAGAGTAAGCGGGGGCAACACCAGGAGTGCGTGAAGGTATTGCAAGATGGAAGGGAGAGGAAAGTAGGATCAATCGGCGATGCGTAAATGAGCGAAGGTGCGACGAGGTGGAGGAAGGTCGGGGAGCGCAAACGCCATCGGGGTAGGTAAAGCGGATGGAAAGAAATCGTGGGAGAGGGAAGTAGGTGGTTGTTTGTAGGAGGAAAGGGATTAGGGGATGTGTGAATATTGGAGGGCGGAAAACGAGACGTAGAAGAAAGGAAGTAACGGGTAGAAAAATGTATCGTAAGGTGGACCGAGCGAATATAAGGAAGCCGACAAGAACAAAGGGAGAGAACTGACCTCTTCGGGGGTAACGGGTCTCTGACTCGTCTTCCTGAGCTCCTCAATCACACGGGGATCACGCCTGAGATCCTTTTTGCAACCGACAAGGATGATGGGGAGACCAGCGCAGAAGTGCATTACTTCAGAGATCCACTAAGAAAAAGGGTCAATACCCGATAAGGACACGAGGACACGCCACAGGGGTTTGAGGTAAGAGCCAAGAGGACGAACCTTTTCCTGGACGTTATCGAGGGAATCCGGAGAGTCTACAGCGAAGCAGATGAGGATGACGTGGGAGTCTGGATAACTGAGGGGCCGGAGACGATCGTAATCTTCTTGGCCAGCGGTATCCCAAAGGGCGAGCTCGACGTGCTTTCCGTCGACTTCCACGTCTGCGACGTAGTTCTCGAACACTGTTGGCACGTAGACCTAGATGGAGGCAATGAGTCATGGGTCGGGTGCGGGGTTGTAAAGAAAGCTTAAGCTCACTTCGGGGAAAGTTCCTTTGGAGAATACAATCAAAAGGCAGGTCTGAACAAGGTAAAGGGTGGTTAGAAGGGAAATCTCGGCCCAGGGCGTCGTTGTGCGACGACGACGACGACAAAGACGCCAAGAGCAAAAAAGACACACACCTTGCCACAAGCACCATCACCAACGATGACCAGCTTCCTTCTGATTTCAGACATATCGTATGGGGTGAAGACGAGGGGTATTCGAGGAGGATGGGCAGCGACGACGGCGGCGACAGCGACGAGAGGGAGTTAGCGAGGTGGTGCTGGTTGGAACTGAAACATATGATCACTCCAATTTAAGCGGAGTTCTAAAGCTCCACACTCACTTAGGTAAGCGCCACTAACCATAAATCGGTCTGTGCGTGGGAGGCGGTGTTGGGCGCACCGCTTTCCGGTGCGTTTCCCGTATAGCCATCGCTCTCATATATATTCCAGTCATGCGGCATAATCCTCGTGGAAACGCTTCTTGTCTATGGACGAACATATACTTCTGCCGGACGAGTGCGCAATAAAAAAAGGGTGAGTGAGTATCTGTGAAGTGCCTCCTACCTTAATAGAGTCGGGATGACCATTCGAAAGTCACATTTCGTCCGGCCCTTGGTCCTCGTGGAAATGATCCGCCGAGAATCGATCATGCATGGGCACAGCTTACAGAGGTCAAGCGTAAATTATAACAGATTATTTGACATCTGATTCCTCCATTTGTCCTCTCACAGAGGAAGTGCGGAGACGATTTGTGCTGTTTGTTGATATGTCACCCTCATGGACTGACGGACTAAATCAACATTCAGGCGCTAACGCACACGCTCAACCTTCGACATCGACGTCAGACCCCAATTGGTTCACACTGCGAGTCAAACTGAAAGCGAGAGAACTTCTCAAACGCTCAGGGCGCTATAGCCAAGTGGTTACGGCGACAGATTAGAATCACGTCGAGTGAGTCAAATATCTGTTCCTCTTTGAGGGCGCAGGTTCAAATCCTGCTGGCGTCGCTATAGGATGATATGACTGCTAAGGGTCATTTTTATCCCAATGTCCGTCCGCGCCATTCACAACGGATTTCTCTGCATTACAACCATTTCAATTCACAGTGATTTTTCTCCTTCATTCCGGACTTTCCGTCGACGCGCTATCAATTACCCAACGCCACTGGCAGCCGGAGAGTAAGCACATATTCACGAACGTCTACCGGTCTACCACCCAAGAAGGATGATTGTGCAAACACCCACTGATGAATGACTTCATTGGTAGAGGACGGGCCCATAAAGCCAAAGCATAAGCTTGGTCCAAAAACCAACCAAAGCAATAAGCTGATCACTGTTACTGGTCAGTGCGTGAAACATATCATTGAACCGCACTAAAATCCAAGTAAAATTTTCATGTTCTCCTCAAACTTGCAACGCCAGTAAGTGATTTTCAAATACAATGATAAGGTCTTACTTACTTCGGCACAAAACCACAGGAATTCAATTTTTCATTCGCCCAGCATTCGCCTGCATTGATGCGGAGGGCGGTCAAAGCTGGCCGCTGATATATTGGCCTTATGGACAGACAGACCACGACACGTTTAAATTTCAACGTATCTCACAGATACAATGCAGCACCGGTAGCGTATTCCTTTTTCATGTATTTCTTACTAACCATGTCATTATGAATGAAAGGGCGGTTCCTTAGTACAACGGCGCTATAGCCAAGTGGTTACGGCGACAGATTAGAATCACTTGCTATCTGTTCCTCTTTGTATTATGGGCTGAGGACGTCTAGGGTAGGTAGATAGCGAACATTACGGGATGCATAGAGTACTGTGTAGTCCAGATGTAAAGGAAGCACGTAATGTCCTATCAGAGAGAGAAAGGCCAGTGCGCGAAGCGCAATGATGGGCGAAAGCCAGGGGCTTTCCGTCCCGGCAGGGAGGTCCAATCTAAGGGCTAAACGAGATGAGCTGCGATGGGTGGGTGGGAAGAACCACACCTGTATCGCTTGAGGCTCTGCCTCGAGAGTGGAGGGACTCACTGCACGGGAAAGCTTGCGGGTGCCGCTGCGCAGGCTGCGGAGACAGTATAAAGGGAGCGGAGGGTGGGGAAAAACGAAAGGCAAGCCCAGTCCTCAGAGGGGCTGTAATAGTGACGGTAAGGAAGAGAGAGAGATTGCTTACATAGACTATCACATGCCCTGTACAAAGACAGCACCCTAACATTCCACTCGTGCCTCGCTACATGCTAGGGCAAGATCTTTGTATTATGGGCTGAGGACGTCTAGGGTAGGTAGATAGCGAACATTACGGGATGCATAGAGTACTGTGTAGTCCAGATGTAAAGGAAGCACGTAATGTCCTATCAGAGAGAGAAAGGCCAGTGCGCGAAGCGCAATGATGGGCGAAAGCCAGGGGCTTTCCGTCCCGGCAGGGAGGTCCAATCTAAGGGCTAAACGAGATGAGCTGCGATTCCCACAAAACTAGGAGCCCTGCGACGCGTCGAGCGAGTCTCGGAAACCACCATAGTAGGAGCAGGGGAAAACTCACCAAGTGATGAAGACCCCAGAGTG